ACCAGACTGGCCTTGAACTCCCAGAGATCCACCTGCCTCTGCCTCCCAAGTGCTGGGATTAAAGGCATGTGCCACCACACCCAGCTATAATAAAATATTTTTTAAAAAATTAAAAAAAAATTTTAAGCCAGGCATGGTGGTGTATGTGGTGGTGTATGTGAGATTGAGGTCAGTCTGCCTTATATAGCAAGTTCTAGGCCAGTTGGGGCTACAGAGAGACCCTGTCTCAAAAAGTTATTTTTATTAATTCTTAAGAGAACTTCATACATGTATATATATAATGTATTCTGATATTAACCCCAACTCCTTCTAATTCCTACCACATCTACCCTCAACTCAACTTTGGCTCCTTCTTCTTTTCTTTATAACTGACCAAATATAATTTGTACTTTCCATATATTCATGGGTGTGGGGCCATCTAATGGATTGTAGTAGGCCTACTAGGGGCCACACCCTTAAAGAAAACTGGCTCTCCCTCCCTGAGAAGCCATCAACTGTCTGTAGCTCCTCAGTTAGAGGTAAGTATTTATGAACCCCTCCCCATGCTGGAATGTTAACTGGCTGGATTTTGTGCAGGTCTTGTACATATAACTACAGCTGCCCTGAGCTCATGAATGCAGTGGCCTGTCATATCCTCCCCCACCCCTGACTCTTACAGTCTTTCTGCCCCTTTCTGAGAGGATGGTTCCTGAGCCTTGGGTTGTTTTGAAAGTGTTTCATGTAGCAAGGCTATTCTTGTCCTCCCTCCATCTCCCAAGTGCTAGAGTTACTCCTAGCTCATTTAAGATTGCCTTAAATAAGCTTTAGCACCCCCATCCACTCACCTAAAAAAAAACAGCCCACAAACAAAAACCCAAATGTTTCACTCAGATACACCTGGGTTCTTGTCACTTTAGAAAATTACCTAAAGCTGCAGCTTTTTCATCTAGACTATAGGGGTAATACCTATCTCCAGAGTGGTTGTAGGGATTAAGTGACACAGAGGGTGTAAAAGAACCTAGTAAATGTTTAGCTCTCAGTAAAGGGCAATTATTATTGGTACTGCCATCACTCTCCTAGCTTCCAATATTGTATCCTAGGATCTGATACTTTTCACTTGCTCTTGTTTTCATTCCACAAACTCATATTGTATACCTTGGCCCTTATTTCAGTATGAAGGGCTAGCAGTTCAAAGGCCTAAGATGCATTCCTTCTCCCAAAGAATTTTTAAAAAATATTTTTTTAGGCCGGGCGTGGTGGCACATGCCTTTATTCCCAGCACTTTATTCCTAGGCAGAGTCAGGCGGATCTCTGTGAGTTCAAGGCCAGCCTGGTCTACATAGTGAGTTCCAGGACAGCTGGGGCTACAGGGAGACCCTGTCTCAAAAAGACCAAAAAAAATTTTTTTTTTAAAAATTTTATGAGTGTTTTGCCTGCTTGTATGTAAGTGCGCCATGTCCATGCAATGCCAGAAGAGGCCAGAAGAAGGTGTTGGATCCCCTGGAAATGGAGTTACAGATGATTGTCAGCCACCATGTGTATGCTGGGAGCTGAACTTGGGTCTTCTGCCAGAGCAGCCAGTGCTCTTAACCACTGAGCCATCTCTACAGTCCCATCCCAAAGAGTTTATAGTCAATGGACAATGGGGATACACCATATAAAGCAATAAAATCAGTAGAAAAAGGTAGCAAAAGTCATTAGACTGTCTAAGGAAGGCTTCCCAGAGGAGGTATTGCCCAAGAAAGGGCTATGTTGAAGGCCAGAGGTGAGAGAACAGCAAAGTGCCAACCACAGGCAATTCTACCTAATCAAAGCACCCAGGACCGGGCAGGTCAAACAGCCTCCAGAGGGAGGAAAATGTTGCTGTGTGTAGGAAGGAGCATGTGTCAGTTGGGCAACCTGAACTTTTTCTAGCATAACAAATAGTAAAGAGTTTCTGCAGTATTTTAGTAGAAGTCAAATTTACCAAGGTCAAGTTTACATTTCCCGTAATTCAGTGGAATGGGTGTGGGGTGGATATGAGATGCAGAGATTGCTGGCTGAATAGTTGTGTCCCAGGGACAAAAATGGACAGATTAAAGGACACACACAGCTATACTGGTGTAGTGGGACTGGGAAAGGAGAGGGAGACACACAGTAAATGCCTTATTTTTTTTATATTTTATTTTTTGTTATTGTTGTTGAAAGGGTAGCTCACAGTATCTAACTTCAATACATAATGTTACTATATAATCTGAGGGCACTTTTAAGGGAGAAAACATTTTAGAGATGGTCCTGGAGAGGATCCTTAAGCAGATGGCTCAGGGAAAGGGGGTAAAGGACTGGATATTTGCAGGTGGAGGGTCCAAATTCGAGGGGCTGAGATTCTGTGCAGTGGGTCATCAGATAGAGCAGTCCAGACTCCCCAAGGCCACAGTCCGCTGGGGAGTGCAAGCACTGGCAAGACGGACAGTGGTGGTTGCGGGCAGCAGGAGGCGCACTCGGGCCGAGGGAAGCCAAGCCAGGCAGCTGGGACTCCCACATTCCTGGAACAAGCCAGCCAGCTCCTGAAGTACGGAGGATCTGGGGTACGCCAAGTGTTTCCCCAGAGTAGGCTAGTGCCTCCGGTCGAGGAGATTCAACAGAGCAGCTGAACCTTCGGAGCCGGGCTCCACCCTCTGTCCCCGTAGGTCCTCAGGGGCAGGTCCAGCTCTGCTGATGACTTCTAGACCCCTCGTTGCACTCTCCAAAGCCAAAGACTAGTTGCCCACAGCAACAACACCTGAGAGAGGGAGAGCGAGCTCCAGAAAGAGACTTAGGGGAACAGAGAAAGGCAGGGAGCACCAGGGTGACTGGTCTGAAAGTGGATCACCCAGGGGACCAAGGAAAGCGGGAACCGGGATGGTGGTGGTAGGGTCTCGATGGAGGACCAGAGACTGCGTCCTAATACTGGACAAACCCCAAACTCCTGCCTGCAGATCGCAGGGGACACCCATCCTGGATGGACCAGCCAGGTAGTACCTGAGTGAGGGGAAGGGGTCAGGGGAGCTGGCAGGGATGACGTACACGACAGCCCCGCGGGAGGCGGCAATAAGTACTTCGAGAGCTGAAGGACCGGAGTGGAACCGGAGCATCGCGAGCGGTTCTCAGGGAGCAGGGGAATCGGGTCTACCTAGCCCGCTGGAGAGCAGTGCCAGGGCCCGGCGGAGTGTGGACCCCGACAGCCGTGCAGCTAGGGGCGTCTGAGGTTCGCCCGAACGCAGAGCTAGGGACTCAACCCATGGTGTGAGGGCTCCGGACAGGGATGAGGAGGGCGTCCGGGCAGTGCTCCCGGGGGACCCCAGGCGGAGGGGCACCCCAGTTTAAGGCAGGAGAGCCCAGCCGGGCCCAAGCTGCTCCCCCCCGCTCCCCCCCTCCCCCAATCGCTCTTGTTTGTCTCCGAGTCCGGCCGGAACCGGCTTCTGCTAGCTGGGGGGCGGGCGGGTAGCTGTTGATTGGCCAAAGCCTGTTTCCAGCCCCACTCAGCCAATCAACTGGCGGCAGTGTTTTTCATCTTAGGGTAGGAATAAAAGGGCTGGAAATAAAGGGGACAGAAAAGGCGCCGGGCGGGCCCGATACACGTCAGTAGGAGCCGGTGAGCTGGACTCCGGGAATCCGGACCCCAGACCTGGGTGCGGGATCCCGAAGCAGCGCACGGGAAGGGCTTAGAGGGAAGATGTGTGCACGTTAGTGGAAAGACACCGGTGGATGCGGAGCCGCCAGGGGACAGATGGCGAAGAGAGGAGAGGCTTGGGGGATGGAGGAACTGGGTCTGCTTCCATGGAAACGGGCTAATTGCCGAGGTTACAGCCCAGCACCGGGGGTCGCATGGCAGGCTCGCGCCGCCGGTTTGAACCGGCTTCGCCTCTCCCATGCGGGGTTCGCGTGGCCGCAGCTCCTAGCGACCTAGACACTGGCCAATGGCACTGCAGTTCCTGTGCGGTCAGGCCAATGAGCGCGCTGTGGGCGGGCCATTTCGGGGCTGGGTGCGCTGATCTTGTGGTTGAAGAACCCAGCTCTGGGGAAGGGTCTTGAGTGCGGGTGGGAGGGAGCTTGTCAGGGTCCCTGGGAGTGGCAGCTGTCAGGTGAACCTCTGCTCAGGTGGCCTTACTTCAAACTCCCTCCCCTTCCGGCCCCCAAGCTAGTTATGTCAATCCTGCTTGGGGCCAGGACCTGCTCCACGTCCTTGAGCACGCGTTAGACCTTTTCCAGCTGCCATGCCTCAGTTTACTTCGGAATGAACTGGGGGAGAAGTATCCCCACCTGGCGGGCAGGGCTCCAACGTGGCGGAGGGCAGCGGTACGAGCCAGCCGTGGGTTCGGGGTGGCCCTGGTCCTGGCCAGAGTTAGGGATCTCTTCCTTTAGCTGCGTGCACCTACAGCCCGGGCCACAGAGGGGTGACCAGCTTGGCGCTCTGCGCCAGCCGCGGGCGGCCCTACTGACTGAGTAGAAACCGCTGCTGAAACAGGTCTGTGCGCAGGTGGCTGCAAAGCCTGAGCCCGGGCCGCCGAGCCGAGACGCACCATGGCGCCCACCCTGGCCACAGCCCATCGGCGCCGCTGGTGGATGGCCTGTACAGCCGTGTTGGAAAACCTTCTCTTCTCGGCAGTCCTCCTGGGCTGGGGCTCGCTGCTCATCATGCTCAAGTCGGAGGGCTTTTACTCCTACCTGTGTACGGAGCCAGGTGAGATGAGCGACTCGATCTGGGGCTGGTTTTTGGAGTGGGACTCTGGGTGAGGGCTGGTGGGGGTGAAGACCTAAGTCAGTGATGCCCCCTTCCTGCGGAGTGCCTCCGCGTGTCAAAAGGCCCATTGGATCCTCACCCAGCTCTTCTAATGATACATCATTATGGAGAAACTGAGGCTGGAACCAGTCTTCCATTTGCCCAAGCTATAGTCTGTAATAAACTAAAGCAGTTCTTTCTACTAGCCAGGAACATTGCTGGCCTCCTAGCCTCCCAGGGCCTGCAACTGCTCTTGCTTTACAGTAAACACGTTGCTCCCTGGTGTAAGAAAGAGGAACTCTTGACTCAGGGGCTCGGGTACAGCAAGAGGAAGTGACTTTGCCTCCACCCCAAAGGAGGTTTCACCTAGAATCTACATGTTTTTAAGTCAGGCTGTTAATGGAGTCGCCTAAGGGCTTGCTAGATACAATTTCTTGTCTATTTTTGCTGCTTTATGATTCTCCAAAGGCTGTATCCGCCCATCAACTATGAGAACATTTTAGTGGCTCCCAAAGCCGCCACAGGGAAGAAGAGGAAGGGGGACAGTGATGAAAAGATGCCACTTTGACTCCCATCTCTTTGCCCCATTAGTGTTGCTGAAGGCAGACTGAGAATGGTCTAAAATCTCCCTTAGTCCTACCTTTCCACCAGCTCCCAGCCTCTACTCCTGCTCAGGCATCCTTGATAGAAAATGCTTCTTGCCTTTGTCCTGTCCCCCTCCTCCCCCTCCAACAGTGGCTGCATTATAGTTGAGCTCAGGTAATATTCTTTCCTTTACTACTCTAAAACTCCTTTGATGGAGATAACCCAGATTTGACTCCCTAGATCACCACCAGCATGCTCCTTTATTTCTGGAGTTCTTTTAGTTTATTTGTTTATTTATTTATTTACTTTTTGCATTTGTGTGTGTGTGTGTGTGTGTGTGTGTGTGTGTGTGTATGTCAGAGGACAAGTTACAGGAGTTGGTGCTCTCCTTCTACCATGTGAGTTTGTGGGATGGATCCCAGGTTGTCAGACTTAACGCAAGGGCCTTTACCCACTGAGCTTGCTCTCTTTTAGTTTAGGGGTTTTTGTTTGTTTGTTTTGTCTTTTTGAGACGGGGCCTCCCTGTAGCCCCAGCTGTCTTGGAACTCACTATGTAGATCAGGCTGGCCTCGAACTCAAAAAGATCTGCCTACCTCTGCCTCTCAAGTGCTGGGACTAAAGGCATGCACTACCATGCCCGGCTGTTTTTTTCTTTTTAGTCTTGCTATGTAGCCCAGGCTAGCCTCTAACTTGAGATTCTCTCATCGCATCCTCCTGAATGCTAGGATTACAAGCCTGTACTACCACACCCAGCCTCTCATTCTTAGCAGGAAAAGAAAGCTTTGGACCAGCTCTGGTGGCCTGTAACTCTGAATCAGCCCTCCCTGTTTCTCTTCTGTGATCTTCCCAGAGATTATTCAGTGTCCCAGAGACTTAGCAGGAAAGGTTAAGGACCAGAGAAAGGGAGGGAACTCAGAAGCCACCTGGGAGAGGGCAGAAAGTATATCATTTATAACCAACCTTTAGCCTTTAGCACTCAAAAATATTTCCTAATAGCCTGAGGGTTCTTGGCAGGTCTTTCCCCACAATCAGCAGAATCTTGAGAGATGGGAGAGTCAGACCTTGTTCCCTGAACAAGCTTTCTGTTTTGCCTAAGAGATGTTAGGAGATTAATGACTCTTCTGAAGGGAACAGGTTGGAGTGTTTGGCTCTTATTGCAGCATACACCGAGGGTTTTAAAACACAGGAAAAAAAATTATCCCTAGACAAAACTTTTAGTAAGTATCTCATCCAGACCAGATGACTGCTATGATCAGATTTAAACTTTTTTTAAGTATTTTTTTTAATCAAAAAACTTTTTTAAATTATTTTTATTTTATGTGTATGCATGTATTACCTGCCAGAAGAGGCTGTCGGATCCCCTGGGACTGAAGTTACTGACAGTTGTTAGCTGCCATGTGGGTGCTGGGATTTGAACCCGGGTCTTCTGCAAGAACAAACAGTGTTCTTAACTGCTGAGCCATCTCTCTAGCCCCAGATTTAAACTTTTTAAAGATATTATTAGTTTTTACTTGCTGTGGTGTCAGGAAGGTCAGATTGTCTACTGATACAATTTCTTGTATGGTATGGACACTATGGGACTGGAAATTGCATTCTCAAGGAAACCTTGGCTTCTTCCTTTAGGTGGGAGGAGTCCAGAGATTATGCCAACACAGCACTGACTTGGTATTTAAGCCCTTGAGAGACTTGACAAGTCACTCCTACAAACCAAAGTAAAGGGGAAGGGTCAGGATTGTGGGTTGAACATCAACTTCTTATCCCGTGCCTTTGCTCCTATGCCTGATTTTGGTTTTTCTGATTATCTGACAAACCCGCTGACCCAGCATCCTCAGCTAGAAAGCCTGCTGATTCCACACTGCTTATCTCTCTAGCCTCCTTGTTTCTTGGAGTCTGAGCAACCTGTTGTCTTTTGGGGCCAGAAACCACTGTGCTTCCTTGACTGGGTGTGCCTGGCAAAGTTAGGGTCAAGTTAGGGTCAGTGTAGGCCCCCACATTGTCAAACTTGGTAGGTGGCTGAATTGATTGGATTAGTTTTTTAAAGGGCTGAGTATAGCTGATTGAGGTACAGATTGCTTTGCTTTGGTTGTTTTTGGGATTGGTGACTTGAGTTTGTTCTCTAAAGGAAATTTGCCCCAACCTTGTTGATAGGTTCTCAGAACTCTATTTGGAGTTCAGTTAGAATCTGGCAACAGACATAATTCCAATTTGGAAATATGGGAGAAGGAAGGAAATACCTACTTTTCTGATATCTCGTTTGCTTTCCTTTACCCATCACAGGGACAGGAGCTAGGGCTTCAGAGCTGGGTTTGGGTGTTTCATGAGTTTTGCATATTGACTGGTGTTGGTAACCGGACCCCTCCCCCTGATGTGAACAATTGGATTCCTACCCTGGAAAGAGTTTGGCTTTCCCAAGCTGTATCCTTTGGTTTCTATATGGCCACTGTAGCCACTCACCCCACACTTGACCTTTTTCTTCATGTTTTCTGTTCTTTGGTCAATTTTGACAGGATCAGCTTGGAGTGGGGATGCCTGTGAATATTGTTTCCTCTTATCTAGTAAACACTTATTGAGGTGCTAGATCGTATGGAGGATGCTAGGAGACCAGCAGTGGGGGGACCTGGTTGTGCCCAAGTGGAGGCCCCCTGAAGCATGGAGAATGAGGGAGGGGTGAATTGGGGAAGAAGGGGGGAAATCCAGAATAGGCCACACCCTCACACCCTGGAGAGGAAGATTGGAAGGGTTGGCACAGCAGGAGATGCCTGGGGAGGTAGGAAGGGCCAGGACTCTAGAAGCTGGGAGGCAGAGAAGACTGGATTTTGTTCTGAAGACAGGAAGGAAGCCAGGGACGCAGAGGATGGCCAGAATCCAGTGAACCTCTCAGAGGCTCTTGTGAATGGTTGAGGGCTTGCCACATGCCGGGTGTGGGTGGAGAGAGAAGCTCTGAAGGTTGGAAATCTTCATGGCCCCTGTGAGAGGAGTTCAGTCTAGCTCTGTACATGATGCTGGAGGTCAGCCTAGCTTTGAACATGATGCTAGAGGAGGTCAACCTGACTTTGAACATGATGCTGGAGGAGGTCAGCCCGGCTCTGAATAATGAAGGCAGATCCCAGTTCTCTGTGTATTTTGTTTTGGGGTGTGTGTGTGTGTGTGTGTGTGTGTATGCATGTGCACATATTTGTGGACACATGTGCTTATGGCGGTCTGAATCACTTTCCACTTTTATTTATTGAGGGGGGTCTTTCACTGGACCCAGCACTCACAGCTTTTACATGAGTTCTGAGGATCTGAACTCTAGTCCTCAGACTTGCAAAGCAAGTCCTCTATCTGCCAAGTTACCTCCTAAGCCCCAATTCTACCTCTGGTAGTACCTCTCACACTGACAGCAGGGTCCCTGGAGAGCAGAGGGGCTGCTGTCCCTGAGGAAGGCAGCACCAAGCCACACTGCAGATGTGGACAGGATAATTCCCTCATGCTTAAAGACCCTCCCTTTTTATGGGATCCTTCAATACCCATAAGCCATGGTGGACATCTTTTGAAATTTTACATTTTTACTTTTATTGCTTTTTATTTGTTTATTTTGGAGACAGGATCTTTTTGTATAGCTCAGGCTACCTTGAACCCATGATCCTCCTTGACTCATCCTTTTTTTTTTTTTTCCTGGTCTTTTTGAGACAGGGTCTCCCTGTAGCCCCAGCTGTCCTGGAACTCACGATGTAGTCCCCGCTGGCCTTGAAATCACAGAGATCTGCCTGCTCTGCCTCCCAAGTGCTGGGATTAAAGGTGTGTGCCACCACGCCAGGCAACTCATCCTTTTTTTAAAAAAATTGATTATTTTCATTTTATGTATATGAGTGTATTGCTTGCATGTATGTAAATGAACCTGTTTTGTGTGATGCCCAAGGAAGTCAGAAGAAGGTGTCAGATCCCCTGAGACTGGGGTTATGAACAGTTAGCCACCATGTGGGTGCTAGGATTCAAACCTGGGTCCTCTACAAGAGCAGCCAGTGCTCTTAACCACTAAGCCATCTCTCTAGCTCAACCACCCCCCCACCTCCTGCCAGCCCCCTTTGAGACACAGTCTTACTGTGTAGTCCTGACTGGCCTGGAACTTACTATGTTAACCAGGCTGACCTTGAACTCACAGAAATCTGTTTGCCTCTGCCTCTCCTCTCCTTAGTAGTGCTGAGATTCTAGTCCTGTGCCACCATGCCCAGCCCTGACTCATCTTTTTGAATTCCGGGATTACAGGATTATTGGGCTTGTTTTGATTTCTTTCATTCCAGTTTGTTCGTTTGTTTTTGCAGTACTAAGGATCAAACCCAGGGCTTCACACGTGTCAGGCACTCGCTGTACGCCTTAGCTAGACCTACAGCCCA